CGGCAGGAGAAGACGCAAAAACACCGGCAAAAATGCTTGTACGGCCACCGATTCCACCGCCGTTGATCGGGTCGGTTACGTTGGAGGTGGCCGAAGTTATGCTTGTGACTGCCGGTGTTAAAGGCGGAGGTCCGATCGGGTTGTCCGGTTGCTCTGCAACCATAAAATCCATATGACGAATTTCCCATACATTACAGAATGTTGAACAAATTTTGGAATCAAATGTGTGACAGGCTGTGTCTAAAGAATTTTTAAATTTTCAATACAAAGGTTCCATAAATGAGACCATTTCAACTCATTAAACACAAAAATTGAAACTTCAGGCATGTCACCAGGCTTCAAGAACTAAGCTTATTAATATATATCAAAATTGTAGAAAAATACTTTAAAATTTCAATAGACAAAAAAGGGACTTCACTGTCCCATCCCAAGGTTTATTTAGGGTTCATTGGGTAAAAAAGAGACGTAATGATTTAATGAAAGACCCTTTTTCTCCATCTGTTTTTTCTTGTGATAATTTTTTAATTGATCATTGCAAACAATTAGTCCAAGAAAAAGTTAATTAAATTTCTGAAAACAGCCAATCCCATCCCACAAAAGAACAAAATCTTGACGAGCAGACAAATTAAAGGAGCAGCCCAATGAAGCATAAAGCCAAGAGGAGAGGCTGCTTCAATTCAACATAATATAAATTTTGGTGATCAGGTCAAACAATAGTCCAACTTCAAAAAGAACCCCTGAAGTTTCCAGTTGCAGACAACCCTTCTTTGGCAATATTACTTTTTCCAAATCAAGAAATTAAAAAAATAGAATAACATATATACATAGATAGAAGCATAGGATGAATCAGTGAGCATTTAATATACCTGAGCTTTGAATGGACAAAGCAGGAGATAGTACAGTAGCCAATGGCGTGAGGGGCGGTGGAGGCGGCGAAGAAGCAACAGCGGCGGCTGACGCGGCGGCGGCCAGTGCATTGGAATCCGAGCTTACGAACGACAATCTCGTTCGTGGCTGGGACCGACCGCTCTCCTCCGCCAAAGCATCGCAGAACGCCCGATGCGTGATGAAGCTATCCCTCCTTTAAATCAATAACAAATATTAAGAAATTGGAACAGAAATGAAGTTGAAACTTGAAAGAGAGAATTAATTTGAGAATACCTAGAAAACAAAGTTCCGCAATCGCATTTGTACTCTCTGGTTCCACAGGTTTTCATGTGCGCCTTCCAATCCGATTGCACGGCGTACTTCTTGGAGCACCGCTCGCACTTCCACTTCTTCTCGCCGTGCTTCCTCGAGAAGTGCTTTTTGATGCCGGTTAGATCGCCCAGCGCCCTCGCCGGATTGTGGTGAACGCAAGACGCCTCCGGACAAACGTACACTCGTTTCCGAATCTCTTGGCTCGTCCGCTGGCGGAGCTTCCAAGGCAAGTTGTGGCCGCGCCGGTGGAGCTGCAGATTCTGGTCTCGCTGGAATCCTTTGTTGCAGATCTCGCACACGAAGCGGTTCGTCGCCAGAAGCGATTTCGGCGATAGAGCGATCACCTCCGCGTCCGGATCTGGCATGCCGGGAAGATTCCTCTTCTTCTTCGGCGGAGCCACGGCGCCGACGATCTCGATTTGAACTCCCGGCGATGAAGATACCGCAGCTTCGTCCCCGGAAGGAGTGGAAAGCGCCGCCGGTGAAGAATTGTTCTCTGCCGCTACCATCGAAGATGATTTCGAGCCCTAACTTTTTTCCGATTTAAGAAAATATTTATAGCCGCATAAAAAAGAAAACCAGAGTACGTAGAGATGTACAGAGCATTATCTGGTTCGAGTTTGAAGTTAAAATGAATCCGGTGATTCGACCGGTGGCCGGAAAGTCGTGGTCCTGTAAGGAGACGGCCACTGCACAGTTCACACTCGAGGAAGAAGAGAGAGAAAGAGATGGGGGTTGAAGAAAGAGACAGAAATTTAAATTTGTGGGTTTATTTTATTTTTTCTTTTTTGGTCAATTAAAAAAAATGAAAAGATTAAAAGCGGCGCGCTAACCATGGTTACATTTTCTAACCCTGGTTGGGGGAGGATATGCCGTGGGCCCCACGGGAAGTCTGATCTTTTTGTCTGCTAATGTGTTGTGCCACGTGTCCGGATCTGCGGGTTTATGATTTTTGTCGGGCCAAGTGGGACTACCCCAGCCGGTGCTTGTCGTCTAGTGAAATTTATTTTATTCGATTTTCTTAAACCGTTCTGCCAAAAGACGATTATACCCCTATTTGGCCACCTTCCACCTCGCGACAGGGGCAGAATCCACCCAACCGTCGGGGCAATTTGGTCTCTCCCGCAAGCATGCGGCAAGGGTGGGTTCGGTAATAAAAGGCGGTCACGGGGACAATTCGGGGCAAATGATTTAGAAATGTTGTACGTTACAGTACGAAATGCCGACAGGTGTCATGGCATAACCCCATCACGTGTACACATGAGAAATCGAGGGGTTTTGATTTAAAAAAAAAAGAAAAGGGTTGCAGATCCAGTAGTGTAGGTTTGAGTGCATGTTATAAAAACTCCCTACTCAAAAAGTTAAATATCCTTTTTTGTCTGTTGTTTTTTGTGGGGGCCTTTATCTGGATTTGGGTGTGAGGACAGCTACGGAAAATAGACATCACCTATTTTTCAAAAGTTACAATCATAATAAAACACCTCTAGCCTCAGGGGCTTTTTCGACATTTTTCTTTCTTTTCTTAACTTTTCTGACCTTCTAAATATTTAGGTATTTATCGGTCAACTCTCGTTTTTCTGGACTAACCTAAATTAGATTCAACGATTATTTTTGTCAATAAAAATATCGAGGTCTTAATTTAATATAAATGTCAATAAAAATATTTATTAAATATCGATGTTTGATAGATATTTATGTATAAATTAAAGAATAAAATATTTCAATCAATAATTAGTATTTTTCTATTTCTAAACAAGTTAGAAATTATTAATATTAATATTATGTATATATTAGTGATATTTTCATATTTTGTTGAACTTTTTGTAGTATGATAAAAATATTGATTTGCCCTTCGTGTCGATGTCGAATTCATGAATATATGAAAATGTCAATAGAAATGTCTATGCGTTGACAAATATTTAATACTATGACTCAACTATTTAAAATATGTATTTTCAACTAAAATATCATGTATTTGAACCTCTACTCCACATATGGTACTAAAAAAGTTTCTCATTTTTCTACTAAATACAATTAAACTGTTCACAAGGGAAAGAAAAGGTAAAAAAATATACATATACATATATATATATATTATTTAATAAAATAAAAACTATCGAATTTTTATTAATGGTAGTATTTAGATGAATCCACCATATGTATTTAAATATTGTTATTTTACTATTTGTAGGGCGATGTTCCAATTTGGACTTGTCATCAAGATTCTATTAAATATTATATTATGGGGAAAAACGACTTTTACATCCTAAATTTTGTACTCAATTTTTATTTTGTTGTACAGTTTCAGTTCCAATTAATTCATCTTTAATCTTAAATAAATATTGTAATACTTACCATTATTCTTAAACTTTTATCTGAAGAATTGTTAAAAAAATATTCTCACGTGTTTAATAGAATATAAAATAGAGACATTGTACCACATTAAGCTTAATCTTTGGAGAAGGCCAACAATATGCTTGGCTGGATTTTTGTTCATTGATTTGCTTGGACTTTATTTCCATTGAAATCTTAGAAAATACAAAAAATAGTGGGTAAAAATATATAAAATGGAACATAAACTAAAAATTATAATACTTATCTTAGTGTAACGTTGGACCAGTTGGAACTGTAAGTCCACAATATAAATAGATTATTTATTTCTTCATATTTTTATTTGTAAAGATGAATGCTAATATGCATTTAAAATTATTGGTTTCCAAACTAATAATATTTATAGAAAGAGGTTCGTTCTTTTTAAGTATTCATGAAAATTGTTTTGGATTTATTGGAAATTGTAACTGAAAAGTGACAATGGCAATGGTGGAAAGTGCGCAGTTAATAGTAATTTTTTATGTACGAAAGTAATATTAATTTCCGGCAAGTGCATACTAGCAGCCAATCAGTGGCTGCCACCAAACTCCACAAACCATAATTTTTTTAGACTTCAAAAAAGAGGAAAAACAAAACAGTACCAAAGGACAAAATGGGCATTTTTACAGATTAATTAGTTTTACTTTAGGTGATGTTTAATTATCCAAGATTAGAATGAAAATGGGTGAGACTGTTCATTATTAGGTATTATTTACTCTAAATTCTATGGAATCGAAACAAGAAATCTATAGATGTGTTTACCAAAATTTTAAGGAATCGAGATAGAAATCATATATATAATAATTATTAAGAATACTATTTTATTATTTGTAGCTAATTACAAATACCAATTAATTAAAAGATGTACTAATATTTATTTCTGTACTATTGATAATAATGAATTTTACTTTAACAAATTTTATTAAACTTCTATTATTTGAGTGCTCCTTTAGTTCGGTTCTTTGTTTTATCTGAAGGTAGCGTAATGTTAGAGTTTACTTGCTTTGCTTTTGGTTTCACCCCACCTCATACCAATGGAGATAATTGTCCTCTTTTACAACCCAACAAATAAAACTAACGACCTATTGGATAGAGATAGGTACCAATTATCACTAAGTTATACTAACTTTAATAATTAAAATTAAATAATTGATACATTAAATATAACTTTGTAATATTTTATAATAAAATCACATCTACCAATAAAAGTTATATAATTTTTTATCATAAAAATAATTATTGATAGTACAAATAAACAAAGAAAGAGTAAAATTTTCAAACAATTAATTAAAAGTGTAACTTTCCCTAGGCCGTATGATTATGATTAATAGATGAGCCAGGAATGATAAACATTGTAAAATGGTTGTTAAAAAATTGAATAATGAATGGAAATGTAATTGACGAGGTTTTAGGAGAGGAATGTGATTATAATAGCTTTTATTAGAAGGTACTTGGTGTTGGGTTTGTAACGTAAGGTAATTGGCTAGGGAAACGAATGATCATGTGTATATAAGAGAGGACAATTATCTATGCCGCCCCAGTTCGTTGTGTATAGAATTTGTGTTAAGATTTTTCAAACCAATTTAATTATGTATTCGACGGGATATATTATAAGGCCGTGTTGTTATGCCGAGGTAGAGATTAACTTTCATAAGAAATTGCAACATTTAAAATTTTTACTTAGGGTGGTCATAGCAAAGAGGGTAGAAATATCATACAGAGTAATTATTTGTAAATTAAGATGATTTAAAAATTATTTCCCGTGTTTGGTTTGAATAATAATTAAAAAAAAATCCAATCTTATTTGAAATTTCATTTTGTTCCAAAAAAAAAAATGCTTTCTTTTATTTTATTTTCTTCCAGCATCCTAACGAAAGATTTTGTTCATTTATTGATTGGAAATCCACTAAAATTTATTGGTTCAAATCAGTTAGGAACTTCAGATTATTTTATTGAAATTCTGGAATTTAAAATCATTCCCTTCTAATTCTTATAGCATAAGGGTGGAGTGCCAAAAATTTGTAGCAAAAAATTTCATAATAAATAGAAAAATTTTATATTTTGCTTTTTATGCATAGAGTATTTAAATTTTCAAAATTTATAGAATAAATTATAGAGAATTTTAAAATTATAACTTTAACATGATCTCAATGGACATATTTCTCTGAGTAAAAGATTATAAATTTGAATCTTATCACCTCACCTATCCTAAAAAAAAAAAGTAGCTTTTAGTTCCTAAATATTCATTACCGAAAATAATTTAGTTTTAGCATTCATTCATGACTACTAAAACTAAAATTTTATTTCAACTTGATAATGTTTGGTTGATTGTAAAAATAAAAAATAATAATAATCATCATTTGAGCATAGATGTTTAAACAACTTGTGTCTTCCAAAATATTTATTTCAAGAAACAATTTTCAGAACAAGATTCTTTTCGCCTTGAGTTTTCATTAATAACTCACTCTTGTCGAGTTTTTAAAGATGCACTTTTACTCTAGACCTATAAATATTAATTTATTACAAATATTAAAATCACAAAAAAAAAAAAATATAACAACATTTGTTTGTCCTGATCAAGTGATCTATGAGAAAATAACACATCCAAAAGTTTGACAAAAAGAAAAAAAAATTCAAATCTGTTTCGACCTCCAAAATTTTCAAAATTATGCTATTTTAATATATGAATTTTCAAAATGAATGAAACTAGAAAATTCAGGATCCAAAAAAAGAATAAAACATGAGAAAACAAACTTTTAAAGAACAATTATGTAACTAATTCTTAATTAAAAAAAAAAAAAGAACTGTAACGGCAGTTGTTGAACAAGCCCTTACTCTTTGATGCATCCCAGGCTGGGAATAATTTAGAACAGCTGAAAGAAAAAGCAAGAAACTCCAAAACCATCCAACCAAAAGCCCAAGAAATTACAAGTGTTAAAATGCAAGCAAAAGCAGAAAGGCAATGCATCATAATTCATAATAGGGAGAGATTTTTTCACAGTGATCAAAAGGAGAAACAAGAGGAGACTGACAGATAATCATCGCAATTTTGATTAACTTTTCGAGTTGCTTAAACTTCAACATGGATCCCTTTTTTCTCCTCTTTGCAATAATACTCTTCCTAAAGCCTGTGGGTCTCTCCTGCTGCTCTTTGACCTCAGAATCCTATCATTGCCTATAATGTTCACAAAAATCATACCACAAAGAAAAATTAAGTTGGTGAAACCCATCCAAATCGACCAAACCCGATCCGTGTCACTGTTCCCAAGGTTGTTGATAGGCTACACTTTACACTCAGCTAGAAGAACATTATACAGGTCGCTACAATATTTGTAGACTTATGATTCTTTCTATTTCTACTCGATGTTCATTCTTTGATACCATGTGAATACCATGTTAAACAATCGATCCAAAGGAGACAAAAATGTCAAAACAAAACTTGCATTATTTCACTTTTTTTTTTCTTTCTATTCCTTTGCATGCAACTACAAAACAGAGATACAGATATATAGCGAGATCAAACCATTCATACCGACCAGCAAACAAGCAATCGGGAAAAAGGAAAAAGTAATCAGGATTCAGGAACTTGAAACTCTTTGAAGCAAAGATTTCTAGCTGATACCTACTTTTCTTTTAACTGCTTTCATCCACCACCTGATTGTTTGCAAATAGAGGCTCCCTTCGTTTTGGAAATCCTGGAGGTTCTAAAGGGGAGCCCCTGAATTTTAGCTCGGACGCTGCTCTATAATTCGGATCAACTGCAGCTGGTCTTGAGTTATGGTCACTTGTCGTAGGTGGCCTAAAGGAATTTGTTGCCCCACCGGGATACCCGGTAGGAGAACCATAACGTCGTGGTGGTCCTCTCAGGCCGCTGCCACCTCTGAGATCCATCATATCAGTACTCCTTGAAGGAGTGTCTATGAAAGATGATCGCTCACTGGTTCCAGTTCCCAGTGGAGCTCCAGTAGTAGGCGAAGTCGCAGTAAATGGATCATCAGGTCCCCATGAAGTGAGCGCCTCCTTCTTCTTGGCAAAGAAATGCCAAGCTCCAAAGAGAAAGAGTATGAAAAACAGAACAGGGCTTGTCCACAGCATTGTATTGAACTCCCCTTTAAAAATTGGAAGATTGGAGCGATACATGCCTACATATCCACCCCCGAGTCCAAGAACCACAAGCTTTTCACGGTCACTAGATATTAAGGGTACAAACTTTCCTTCAGACTCTAAATCCAAATTCTGGTAATTCAGGAAAGATGACCTGATCTCATCCACAGCAGCAGAAAACAGAGGTCTAGGTGCACCGACTCTAGCGTAATGCTGAGATGATACATTGAAAATGTGAACCTTCTCATTGCTGATCACAAGCAAATAACCCTTAATTGCCTGAAAGACAAGTGGTTCATCAAGCTCAAACTTCCTTTTAGATCTAACCCTGCATTTGAAGTTCATTATATCTCCCAACAACAAAACATGAATTAAGTCACCAGTCGATGTAAAACCATATGCTTTAGATCGTTCTGTGGCATCAAACACATAATTCCGAGCAAGAGAATAATTCAACCCCTCACATTCAGACTCCCTAAGTTTCATGCTTCTCAAATCCAACGAGCCAGCACCACTTTCTGTCAAGAACAAAAGCCTCTGCTTCAAGAATGCTATTGGCTTACTCTCCGGCATGACAGAACCATAAACTGTCCCATTCTCTCTAAAAACCTTGATTTTTCCCCTGACATCTGAAGATAGAATGTACCTGGTTCTCCCAACATGATGCACTTCCAAGATGGAAATTGGCGATTCGTCTTCCCTACCATCAGTCGCCACAAATTCCACAACATGTTCCATAAAAAGTGAATGTGACTCCTCCCCATTCGATCTCTCCCAAATCCGATGCATCAAGATTGCCCCATTCTTGTGCCCGGTAACCAGAAGGGTTTCATTCTTATAAATAGACATATATGAAAGCATCGTCATGATCGGCGATTCAGACTTCGTACGAAGCTCAACCGCAACATCCCCATTTCTCGTAAAGACGTAAACTCTCCCTTTCTCATCCCCCACCACAACATACTTACTATGCCCCTCAAAATCCCTAAATGGCAATACATTAATACAAGTAGCATCAGAGTCCAGTTTCACAGCCGACAAAAAGTGGAACCTCTCCGACCAAAATGGGCTATATTTGGTCACTGAAACGGCTCTCGTTCTATCCCCATCTCGAATCTTACTCTCCAAACCGCCATCTCCACCATCATTCAGACCATCTTCTTTCCTACCGCCTAAACTAACCACCTCAGGTACTACCCGTCTCGAAGCATCAGTATTCGGTTTCTTATCTCTAATTACCTCCGTAGGAATATCAGATAATCTCATCTCCAACTTAGAAACTACATCGCTAAGGTTTCTCACTAACTCCTCGAGATTTTTCAGTAAATCACGCTGCCTAATTTCAAAAGGGACCTCGCTTTCGCTTTCGCTTTCAGGTTGATTCTGCTCAAAGGAGCTGGAACTACATACAAAAACCCTAGAAACATGGGGAACACCAAAAACGAATAGAAAATAGATCAAAAGGAGCTTGCCTTTCCGGGGATTCGCCATTCAAGAAGCTGGGAGAAGCTCTTCAACAACTCGCCATCCACAGAATACTTAAATCGGGGATCTCTGATTCCGTTCGGATCTGGGTCACGAGTGTTTCGCCAGAAAATATAAAAATACCTTGGTTTTCCTTTTTGTTGTTACGATGAATCTGTAAGAACATAGAAGTTACTACAGATTGAAGATAATTTGTTCGACTGTAATACAAAATCTGAGGCGGGTGTTTACGGAAAGCTAGGGCTTTTTGAAAAGGGTCGTGATTTTAGAGGAAATCACGTTGTTCAGTCAAATTTCTTCTTCCGACCAATTTCGATGGAGGAGTGAGAAAGGCGAGCGGTTTACTTTGGTCAAATTCCGGTCTTCGCCTGTTTCCTCCTCTATCGCGAGATATACACGTGGCATCAATGTTTTCCTTTGGAAAATTCGAATTGTATTTTATGTTATATTAAAATGTTAAATTACCATTTCAGTCCATTCATTTTTTCCAATAAATATAATATTTAAAGTAATTGTCAGCTCTCGGTGATGTTACAATGTTAGAGACGTTTCGAAATTCGACAGATCTAATCTAACAATGCCTATGTAGATCTAATTGTAATTTTTAAAAACGTTGATTTTATTTTGCACGTGTTAGTATTTACTGTAATTATTGATTTTAAGAATAATATTAGATCTCTACTACTGAATTAGGTTCCTGTTAACCAAAACTAGCTCAAGTTAAATGTTTATTCTTAATAGTTATATTATTATTATTTTATATTTAAATTTTAAACTTGCTACATATATATATATATATATTTTCTTTTTCAGTCTTCAATATAATTGATATTGCCAACTCGAACCTAGCTTAATTAGTTAATGTATGTATTTTCGATTTGTATTCGAATTCTCCACCCCAATATATCGTTGTACTAAAAAAATTAATTGGTTACGTTGTTAAAATAAAGCCAAACATCTAAGACCCAGAAATTTGTTTCAATTAGCATGTAACATTTAATGTTTGAAGTTTTTTCTTTAAATGAAATGAATTATTTTCTCGTATAGATTGTTATAGTACAAATTACTGACTTAAAAGTAAGTATATAAGTTTTTTTAAGCAAAATCTAAGAATAGAAATCCAAATTTAATATTTTCATAAATATTTATTTTATGTTTGTCATTGTTCTAAAATTTAAATATGTTTGTTGGGTATTTATGCACGTTGCATCAATTCCAAATAGCTCGAAAATAGTGGCATTGAGTTTCTTGATCATTTGCCTAGCTGTCACCCATCAGTAATAAGAAACGTAAGGATTGATATATAAAATAATTATATTATAGTACTACGGGAGTACCATACTCTATTTGTTAACACTAAGAATATGACGGTCCCACATTTTTAACATGCTAATGTGATAACCAGTGACCGAAAGGAGTATCTATATCCCCATATTAATATCATGGATTCTTTTGCCAGGTTGGATTAGAAGGTACCAACATGGCTAATAAAGTTGATGGGTAGTGGAATAGATTAATAAAACAGGGTATAAGGACATCTTTTGCCATGTTAGTTGTCTCAATGCTGCTTGACATTAATGCTATCGTCTTCTTTTGCCATGTGTCATTTGTCATTCAAGAACATCATGAGTATTGGATCATATTAAATCAACGAGTATGATTTTTTTTAGGCAGAGGATTATAGTTTATTTAGGGCCAAATTGATAATTGTATTGTATAGTTATTTATGTATAATTTTTAGAAGCTATAAAAAGTTTGTTACGCTTCGGCAAGTTGTGGTATAAAATTAAATGACCCTTGTTCAAGATTAATATTCTTTGGTTGTGATGTAGATACTTCTAATAAATCACCATATAGATAAAAAGGAAAACATTTCACAGGACACATAAAAAATAGTACACTGTATATGACATAGAAAATATAGTACATGCTCCTTCGTCCCTCCCTCTCTCTTTTACTTTATCTTTATAGATATTTTAGCATCAACCCTCTATTTGGTAGTCAATATGAATCGAGTAAATCAAGCTTGATTTACTCCTCTCAATTTTGATAGGTTGCAGTTCAATTCCAAACCCTGGTTAAAAGTCATCTCAAACCAACACATTTACTCTAAAGACAATGAACGTTTTATGTTAAATTACAAGTTTAACTCATATAGATTATGCAATAGTTTTAACATTTTTTTTTCAATTTTAAAATTTTCAATTTAGTTTGCATATTATAAAATATGTCCTAAAAACATCACTAAAAAGTAGATAATTATTTTATGTAACGTGTTTTTTAGATATGGTAGAGAAATGATGACCTAACATTTAAAGAGAAAAAATGTTATACTATTCTCAAGTTGGATTGATCGGTTCGATATTAACTTTGGCTAAATTGTCTCAGACCAACACATTTATCTTAGAAGGATAAACTAGAAGTAAAACAACGAACATTTTTACATCAATTTACGGTCTTATCTCTTATAGATTTATGCATGGTTTTAACCAATCTCTATTGTTTTAAAACATCCATGATATCACCAAAAGTAGACAAATATCTTACATTACATGTTTTCTTTAAACGTGGCAAATCTAGAATTTTTGTTGAGGATCTTAATATACCTAGTAAATGTTTTTTTTTTATTTTTAAACTTGATATATTTATATTTATATAAAGAAAATTTTTATTTATTTTGTAAATAAATAAAATAGTTATATATATTTTATATATAATAAGTAGAAATATATATATGGTAAGTATAAATTTTTAACAAAAAGCACATGTGGGAAGATACATACCCTAATTATAGGGGGCTTGGCCTCGTGATCCACTATGTCAACGTGCGTTCTTGAAAAAATAGGTTTACTATTAGGTAACAATACTAAGCATTTAAAAGTTGAGGGAGACTTGAGTCCTTATGTCCAGTGTGTAGATCTGTCTCTCTCAGTAAAGACAATATGATATGACATCTAAAGAAAATGCGCTACAAATTTAATAAATATAATCTACTGTTGTTTCGAGAGATTAACTAAATTATATGGATTAAATTGAAAAGTTTTAAATTACAATAATCAAATTAGGAACAAAATATAAACTTATAAAGACTAAAATGGTAATTAGGGGTTTGTTTGGTTTGATGACTATTTCATTTATATTTTCCATTTATTTATTTTTACGTTTTCAGAAAAAAAAAATGTAATTTTTAAAAACTCGTTTCGAATGCACTCTCCAGCTCTGAGTCTCAGTCTGGTTTTGAAGTCAACAAGTCAAGGCGCGCATTTTATTTCTCTGGTGAAATAATATAAAGATGCGGATCACGATCAAATCAATCGACAAAATCAACGGCCAGATTTAAAATAACGGGTTTTAGAGAACCGGCCGGATCTTCCTCACGCTATAAAAAGCTCGATTTCCCGCCAAACCAATTGGCGCCAAACCTCAGACCCGCTCTAATATCTCTTCTCTTCGGCGAACTAGCCCTAGATCTCTCCCGCCTTTTTTCTCCCACTGCTCTCCCTGCTTCGCCTTCCCTCGCAGATCCCTTGCCGCCTTCGTCGTTTCTCCGCCTCGCCGCCGGCGAATCAGATATTCCTATCACCGGTTAGTCCATCTCATCTCTCACTAGTCTTCTACTGCTGTCTAAATCGATGCAGCTCAATGTTGTGACCACATCTACAAATATTTATGTGTCTATATATCTTTTATCTCGAGTTGAATTGGTTCCTTTCTAGCTGATTTTTCAATTTAGTTTATCAGTTCCTTTTGGGATCTAGGGTTTTGAACGGATCTCTGGAGTTGCGCTGGAAGTTTAGTTGGCTGAGTAGTTTATAATGTTTATTATAATCGAATCTGGCTAAGTTTCAAGCTTCTGGATAGATCTGAATATGTTTGTGTAATGGCTATGGCACTACGAGGGCGGGTATACACGGGCCATGGTTAAGTCGACGCTGTTTATTGTAGTAAAAATGAGGCTTTTTTCCCTTTAAAAAGAGGAACTACTCAATTGGTCAAGTAATGTTGATTTCGGGATATGGGTTTAATAATTTGGCATGTACAAGTAAAGCCAATTACGAATGATAACGTGGTATCTCAGAAGAAAAAAATGTTAATGTGGAGGATCTGCTTGGGATGTTCAATAGTTTTATGAACAACAAATTTTCTTTATTAAGGGACACTTTGGTAATTTTCACGCACTTGCTAGTTACCCTGCCACGGACATTTCTTTCTCCGCCGAAGTTCAAAGGTTCTGAACTATATTGGACGTGCATGAGTTCTTCTAATGTTCCTTGATTTTTCTTTTTGGGGCAGTTTTTTTGAAATTTTTCTTTAATCTGAATCAATATAATTTTACGGATGATAGAACTTCATTATTTGATCCTCAAATTTATCCACTTTGTTTGGAATCATGTTGTCTTGATGAATTTATTGCTTTCATTGCTTAATAAGTTTTTTCACCGCAGCAGAAGCATTATTTTGGTTCCAAAAGGAGAAGAGTTATACTCATCCAATGGAGTTAAGAAGTTACAATCATTTTCATTATATCCATGCCATTAAAGGTGGTCTTATGACAAAAGTTCTAAACATCAATTCCCGTGGAAAGCCTGCAGTAGTGTTTAAGAAGCTTACTGACGTATATGAATTTATAGACGAAAAAGATCAAAACTCACTCCCAACACAATTGTTGAGAGAAAGGTTGGAAGAAAATATTCCCGAGGGTTACAAGTTCAAGGTGGAAACCGAAGATTTCTATGCAGAAAGAAAATTATTCAAAGATGAGCCCACAGTTTCTGATTCTGGCAGTGGAGGTGATACCGATGGACAAAAGAGTGACGTAGAAGTTGATAGTATGACTATACAGCAAATTATGGAAGGCTGCAAGAAAAGAAAGTCGAGGCAGTCAAAATCTGTTGACTCAAGTAAGGAAAAGCTGAGGACATGCTCTAAACAAGAACTAGAACGTTCATGCTTGTTATCTGATGAGGATGATGATAGTGATCTTAATGTAGCTCTTAGCGTCTGGAAATCCAAACTTTCAAGACGCAAAAAATTGAAAACCAAATGTAATGGAAGCAGAATATCTACTAGTTCACAGTGCAGCCAAATAACTGGAAATTCTGATCCAATCAATAGTGATCAAGATCTCCTTCCATCGAGTGCAGACCTACCCATCCCTGTAGACGTTAAAGTTGAAACTCCTGAAACTGATGTGACAGAAATCCAAAACACAAACTACATTATCGATGACCTGTCTCTTCTTTGTGATGAAAATGTAAACTCGTGTCTGAGTTCTGAGTTGTCTCTACTTTGTGATGAAAATGTAAACTTGTGTCTGAGTTCCGAGCCTATTGGAGCTGATGAATTGTTTTTGAATCGAGGGTCCACAACATCTAACAAAGAAGCTGAGTATTGTGTTCTAAACAGTGCATGTCATGAATATTTGGTAGGTGATGACCCCGAATTTCTTCAGATGGTAGGAGAATCAAACACTGAGTGGATGAAAAAAGATAACCTGGAGATACAGAAACCCAATTATTCAGATTTTCCTGCATCGGAGAGCATGGAGGGACGATATGCCCCAAGGTGTCTATCCAATGATAGCATGTCGGAAGAAATTTCCCTGACTGAGGAACAGTGCTCTGGCACTTATATTTCACAAGGTAAATCCATAACACACGAGGCCATATGTCAGAATAATTGTGAAGATATGTCAGAAGAAATATCCCCGACTGAGGAGCAGTGCACTGACACTTATATTTCAGAAGGTAAATCCCTTACACACGAGACCATATGTCTGAATAATGGTGAAGTCCTCAATCATTTGCATGGAATGACTAATCTGAATAGCCTCCAACTCCCAGAGATGAGTTTCGGAGCTGAAGTATGTTTAACCGAGAATGGTTACAAAGATACGTTGGAACTTGATCATGAAAGAAAAGGCATTTCAACTGAAGCTACCAGTGATTGTGACTTAAGAGCTGATCATGGAGAAAGTATTTCAACAAAATCTACCACTGATTGTAACTTAAGCCCTGATCATGAAAAAAGTATTTCAACAAGTTCTACCAGTGATGGTAACTTAAGCCCTGATCAGCATTTGATATCTATTGGCAAATGTCCAGCTCAGGAGATAGAACCGCAAATCTCCAATTTTTCTGATTCAGAAAGAAATACTTCACCAGATTTTCATCTCGATGATTCTATGGACAAGTTTAATCAATTTGAAGAACCAAAACGTCATCCAACAAGGCTGCTATCAACTAGAACTGTAAGTTGAATTTAATTGATGTAGTATTTGGTTTAAATTATGCGGAGGTTGTTTATATTCTTCTGCTTTCACTTTCAGACCATATCTCCAACATCTCAGGAAAGATTGTCCAAGGCTATGAAGTCTATGCGGTTACATGATAAAGAATGCAAAAGTAAGTTTCTAGAGTTAAACATTAGTTAGTCGTGAATGTGGCATGGAAATCTCATTTTAAACCTTTTTTTTAATAATAATTTTATCTAATTGTTTGTATAATATAAAAAAGGGTTTTAATGCCTCAATATGCTAGTTAATAACCCCATATTAAATAGAATGTGAAACCGAGCATTTTCTTGAACTAAAAAAAGCCAAGTTTAGCACAGTTCTTAAAGGGGATGAGGACTCAGAGTAAAACTATGAACTAGTTAAAAGCTTTGCAAGTCTCGTCGCCTCTTTTGGCTGTGCTGTTTTCATCATATGTGAAAGAAAAATAATAATGTAATTCAAAACTTGTTTTACCAGGGGAGCATTGGCACTAATGCATGAAAAGAAAAAATTGAGGGCTCCTTTGATAATTTTTTATTTATACTTTCTTTTTAAAATGTTTTTTAAATCATAGTGAAATTCTAAGAATATAATTATAACAAGCCTTATAGTTTGGAAGTACGCCTCCCCCCATCCCCGGGTTTTTTTTGCCTAATTGTTCTCTTTTCATTTTAGCATGTGGTGGCAAACCATATTTCAAGCAAGCAAATTACAAGGTTGGCACAGCTGAAGAGTGCGACCAGATGAAGAGAGTCTATTCCGATATATTTCATGAGCAAAATATAAGGAAATCAAAGAAGAGAAGTCTCCACTCGACAAGCAACACTAAGGTTCCCCATGGTAGAACGAGGAGCACTGCTGTCCAAAGTTGTTCAGACAATGCCATTGCGTTCACACAAAGACAGATGCAGGACATAGAGAGTATTGCCCTGAAACTTACAAATCAGTTAAAGTCAATGAAAGCAATTGTGGAAGACAGACTTCATGTCGAAGGCAACAAGGCTACAGGTTTCAAATTTAACACGGATGAGGTAACTTAACGTATATGAGAACTTAACTTCATTATCGTTAATTACCTTATTGAAAATGCCTTCCCAGTAGTACTGAACTTAAACTTTTGTTTAATTGCAGTCAGCCTCATATGGGGAAAACTTGCTTTAGCTTTCTTAGAATGTTGAGAAATTGAATTTTTCCATGTTCCCTTACACTCTTGATGTCCGACAAACCTACTGTGTAAAATAATTGGATGTGATCTTTGGAGAGTCTTGATTATTAATTGCATTTGGTATTCATTTGCATATAAATGGTGTGTTTAATTAAGCTTTTTATCCTTTTCCCCCGTTTCCCTTAGTGTTACATAGGATGTATGTAGATGTTAGTTTCCATCCTGCATGCCATGTGTTTAACCAAGTCATGCAATTGGCTTTGGCAATTTTTACTTGGAGAAAATTGACACTAATCATTCTTGTAACAACTTGTGGGACTTTGGTCATGGGGGAGGTTTTGTGGGGAACTTGCCCCTCAGGTAATACACATTATGCAGAATGAATTTATCCTATAATTGTCACTTGGATTCTGGTATATTGGCAATTAGCATGTGAACTTCCATGCAACTTATAATCGGTAGAAATATTTTATAGTTAGACTTAAAAGTGACATTATAGTGACTTTGTCCATGGAATTGGTTCTCTCATATAAAGGTGTTTGCTGTCCTCTCATATATTATTCTGTATTTTGGCAGGTGAGAACAGCCATTTCTGATGCAACCAAAGCAGAAGCAAGTGCGAAGAAATGGCTTTCCATGATGTCAAGGGACTGCAACCGCTTTTGTAAAATAATGGTTAGTTCCTCACCATAATCTTGTAAGAAAAACAGAAGGAAAACACCCATTTGAGGCCTGATTTTTCTTCCCCTAACCGACAAATAATTAATTGCAGAAAACAACTGAGAACGGTTCAACTGCTTCTCCAAGTGCAATCCAGAAGATAAAGAGGAAGATTACATTTGCTGATGAAGCTGGTGGAAAGCTTTGTGAAGTGAGGCTGATTGAGGACCACGTCGAGTCTTTTGTGGAAGCCAGTCCTGAAAAGTATGAAGCAGTCAAGTAACTTCGAAAAACTTTCTTGTATACAAACTTATATTGAATCGTTCTCTTTTAAGATTTTTACTTGTAAATTCCCATGTTACATTTAAAAGAGAGTGCAGCGATTTGATTCGATTCTGCCCGAGGAAATGAGATATTGTATCATCTGGTGTTTTGAAATAAATTTTCATTGTTCTCTTCTCCTCAAATCAAATCAAATCAAAATCATGTATATCACTCTGATATCTTTTTTCTTTATCCGTTCATTCTGGCATCTTTAGCATTTTAAATTGGCACGTTTGCTGCTGTTGCAATGCACTTTTGAATGTTTGAGATTGGTTTAGGCAGGCCTTTTCAACTGTAGAAATCAATTTAAGAGTGCTCTTATTTAATTTGATTACGTTTGTTTATTGCTCATTGGTAATCTGGAGGGCAAGAAAATGGATCTCCTTCGTCCTAACACCATTAAAATAAGCCAACCGTATCAGGTAGCTCCCATCACTTCGACAGTGTAGAGTGCTTCTGTTCAACATCAACGGTCAAATTAGAAAGGTCAAAGCAATTGCCAGCCTAGGTCTCAAATTATTATTTGTCTGCTCGTTTAATAGACATAAAAGTCTATTTTGTAATATGCATTTGAAACTCGGTTATTTGAATCTTATGAACATTAAGGTTGGGGATATTTGGAATGAAAAAATTGTTGATTACAATGAGAGAGAAATGTCGCATTACTAGTAATATGTTTGGGTGCAAAATAGTTTGTAATATATAGGTCAAAAAAATATTTTTGGCCATGTATTTGATTGAAGTAACAATTTATTATTTCAACTTTAGTTAGTTTTTAATGGATAATAATTTAGTCTCTAAATTTTCAATTTAATTCTTGTAGTTTAAAATTTGCAACAATTTTGTCCAAATTATGAAAAATCTCATTAAAATTAGGTGTCAGATTTTTATTTATTATGTATTGATTTAGTCTTTATAGTTTATTAATACATTTAGTCTCTCATTATTTTATCCATCTAAATGTATAAAAGAAAATTTATATATATATAGGAAATTATATTAAATTTTAAAAACATTTTCACTATTGTTACAAATTTTAGACTACATGTATTAAATTGTTACATATTTCATTTCAGAAATTCAATTGTTATAAATTTGAGAGTATAGTGACTAAATCGTTACAAATTAAAGTTTAGGACTAAATTATTACTAGGATAGAATACGCACCAAAAAGAAAGAACCTCACGACCTCTAAAACTCTGGTCACTATGCTAACACCTTGCGTGCATTAGTTAGGAGCATTCTGACTAGACACAAAGCCTTTAGTTATTCAACTGAGAATCATTAATATTTTTCTAATACAATAATATATGAGATGAAAATTTGAAGTCATAATATTTTCATCGAAAATATATATTTTAACAAAGTTGATCTATGCTTAGATTGATCTATAAACATTAAGTAATATTGAAAACTAAACCATAATAAATATTTACATATCATATTAATTTATGGAAAATAATTGGCTCCTCACTAATAAGAAGAAATCTTGTCCACACTACCATTTAATATTTGACAACTCATCATTAAATATTAAATGGTGGTGTGGACAAGATTCCTCGAGGAGCCAAGTATTTTCTTTAATTTATTTGGTATGAATACTCATTTTTTTTAAACATATATTAAAAATTATAACCGGTTAAATTAACTAGTTTCTTATAGAGGCTTTTACCTTTTTTTTTTCTGGTTAAAAATTAGTTGGTGAATTAAAAAAACAAAATTTGAATAGAAAATAAAAATTACAACACTGCCCAAGTTTAGATACAATGTGATGAAATTAAAAGGCTGCTCTGAAAATTGAAATTTAGGGATAAATTTTGAATTTTTTTTTTCTCGTTCATTGTTTTAGTCCAACAAGAAGGTGATGAGATTTGAAGGCTGCCCCTCTCGTCTCTGAAAATGGAAGTCAAAATCAACGGCCATCAGCCATGGTTCTGAATTGGATTCCCCATTAACTGCAATTGTGGGTCCCTTCCCCATTGGAAGCTCTGGCCATGGCCATGGCAATGGCCCCATCACTCCGTAACTGTAACAAACCATTCATTCCATTAATTTCTCATCATTCCCCTCTGCAGAAAGTGGAACATTCAGAACCCCACCAACCAAAATTTCTCTCTGTAAACCGAAACCCTCACCATGAAATCCGAGCTCTCACCGACACCGACAATGGCCGCTCCCACTGGGGACTCCTTCTTCCTCTCCAAGAAGGCCCGCTACAAATTCTGGGCGCTCGCTGCCATTCTCCTCCTCGCCTTCTGGTCCATGTTCACCGGCTCCGTCTCCCTCAAATGGTCCCCCTCCGCCCATTTCGCCCGATTCTACGACCGCCCCCGCAGCCCCGTCTTCCACGATCTCGACATTCTCGTAATCTTTTAACCATTTTTTTACTTGTGCTTCCTGATCTTGATTCCTGCTGTTGAGGGTTTTTTCTTTTTTGGTGAATGAAATCGTAGGAAGTGGAGGAGCGTGAGAGGGCGGTGCGGCACATGTGGAATCTGTACACGCACGGCGGCGGCGCCCGCCTGCCGCGGTTCTGGTCGGAGGCTTTTGAGGCGGCGTACGAGGATTTGATCGGCGATGTCCCCGCCGTTCGAGACGCTGCCCTTCTCGAGGTCGCCAGGATGTCTCTGCGATCTGTGAACCTCGATCCGATTCCGATTAAATCCAAGGTTAGTCCACATTAAAAATTCTTTTTTTCCCTTTTCTGTAGCAATGGCGAATCGGCAATCTTTATAATTTTCTTGCATCTACACTCGAATAGAGATGGGTTTGGAAGATTATGATTTTCACCACAACATCCAATTCGTTTTCTTTTTAATCAAAAAATTTACTATGACTTTGTAATTGAGTTGATGTGGTTATGGTGTGCAGATTGAGGAGCTCAAAACCAACTCTATGAACTGAGTAAGCTGTTGGGCTGTGTTTATTTGGGGGAATTTATTTACTCAAAAAGTTATATACTACATTTAAAAAAAAAAAAACAAAGGAATGTACAAAATTTACCAATATCAACTGTGAAAGTGAAACTACTTTATTTTTCTGTCTCTCTCTCTCTTGTGTTTTATTCAATGGTTATTAAAGTGGCAGCTACTACTTTTGGCCACATTCTACCATTTGTCATACTTTACAACTTTCAGATCTTAATGGTTGAATTAAGAATAGGGATGAGTCAAAATAAACAGCCCAAGTAGAGAAGAATATTATTTCTAATTCTACTCTACATCACTAATTTTAAGCCATACCATTAAATTTTAAAAGGTATTTTTGATGGGTAGCATTTGTAAATATACCTTCTTAGTTTTGCAAATATGGCAAAGATTTTAAAATCTAATTTTTTGGTTTTTTTTTTCCTTTGTTATTCTTAACTTTTTCTTTGATATATAGTGATATGATTTATATATTTAGTATAAAACACATTGATGATACATATGAATATGATATTAGGTGTGTTAGTTATATAACTAATATATCATTGGTATAGTTAATATATATTAATTGCACTAATGATATATTTCATTGATAATATTTTTTTATTAAACGTTTTTAGTGATGTATCAAATATATTAATGATATACTTCATTTTAGATGTATCATTAATATAATTAATATACCTAATTTCACTCCGTCTCCAATTTTAAAATTAAGTTAGACCTGCCAAGTAAAATAATGAGTGAATTATATAATTTTTTTTATACAACATGTGGGGTGGGGGTTCGGACTCATGACTTCTTGATCAGAGATAGATGCCTTAACCACTTAAACTATGTTCGATTTGAATGATAGAGATCCACTAGTTAAAAGTTATTTAGTCGACCGACTTTAAAATTTTCCTATGAAAAAATTACTCAGCAAAGACATATACCTTCTGAGTTCAACTTAATTTCATTACTCTTTAACAACATTCAAGGAAAAAAAAACAAACAAATTGATGAGTCTTGTCAATTACAAAATAAACTTTCAAACTATTATTTTTTAATCTAATGTCCAAAAACAAATTACTTCCTTGCACTGATTTTCTAAAATAAATAAAAATCACAATGGGTCACAAACTAGCCTAAAAAAAATATTACAGCAATGCAACTAGTATTAACTAGACAATACCCTAAGCAAGGCTCTGAACAGAATCTAACACTATCCAATATAGCCTCGGCACCGAGCACCTGTACAGAATCTTCTAACACTATTCAATATAGCATCGGCACCAAGCCCCTCGCAACACTAGTTAGACTAGGCTATTAACGTTGCGCCATTTTTCCTAACTCGGTTGACCCAATAACATCCTACAAAAATGGCATAGCATGAGGCAGAGGCAGAGGCAGAGGCAAGTCTAAAGAGCTGATGGGGCAGGTCAGTTATTCAAGCCTGCAAAGGCTTGTAAGTTCAAAGTCGAAATAATGGGGGCAGCGCCAGCCCAGCTCACAAATCAAAATTCAAAATGTGCATATAAGTTTAAAAATTGAACTTGTAAATCCAAACATGAGCACATACCGGGCGGCATTGCAGCACACTACATCAACATGATCAATGGGCCTCTGGAGGCCAACTGCGAAATGCCAATGAATACCAAACTCCAGAAAAGGGACGAACAAAGAAAGTGAAACACAAGAATAAATTACCTCGGTTAGGTTAAATCCAGCTCAAAAATGTTTGGACAG